CCATTATCTGATCCGGAGTGTGGTGCCACTCACGCTTCCCTCGCGGTTGCGTTCTGCAGGTTTCCGCCGTTTTTGGCATTACAGCTCGGCGGATTGGAACGGAATACGGTCTTTCTTTGCATCCTACCCATGGGGGCGGGTTTTGCTTCTCGCCGGACGATCCCAGCGTTGTTGCTGACTCTGTCACTGATGTGGTGCTACAGGGAATGGAACTATTTATTCCATCATCTGTGGTACCCATCGGAGACAGATCTCAGCCTTGGTTTGGTCGCTCCTATAAGACTGCATTATGCAGTAAGCAGGAGTGTTATCAAGCCTGGGCTGCGACTTCAGCGACTCGGGATGTAAACACCAGCATGCTTAAAAAGAAGTATAACTTCGCCTCCTTCAAAAGAGTTATTGCCAAGGCAAAGTCAGAGCACATAGGCAGAATTGGCGAGAAACTAGTTCGCCTTCCAGCTTTCTGGCTTGGGCCAGTGAGGACGACTCACTGGCCCAAGCCACAAAAGAGAAAGCTGACCTTTTAGGCTCCCTTTTTGCGTCCAACTCGACTCTTGATGACGGGGGGAAAACACCGCCGACCATCCCGAGGTGTGAGTTCTCTATGCCGGATGTGCGGTTCTCACAGCGCTCGGTTCGCAAAGCAGTCCTCTCCCTGGACATCCACAAGTCAAGTGGGCCTGACAGAATCCCCCCAATTGTGCTGAGGACGTGTGCTCCGGAGTTGGTACCGGTCCTAACGCATCTTTTCCGGTACTCCTACTCCCTAGGCGTAGTCCCGAAATCATGGAAGACAGCTTCTGTCCACCCGATCCCTGAAAAAGGCGACCGCTCAGACCCGTCCAACTACAGACCTATCGCCATCACCTCCTTATTCTCCAAAATAAAGGAATCCATTATTAACTGACAACTCATGCGGTACCTTGAGGATCACCAGCTGATTAGTGATCGCCAATACGGTTTTCGTCGGGATCGATCAGCTGGTGATCTTCTGGTCTACCTGACTCATAGATGGGCGGAGGCAGTAGAGTTCAAGGGGGAGGCGTTGGCTGTTAGTTTGGACATTGCGAAGGCCTTCGATAGGGTTTCGCACAAAGCGCTTCTTTCGAAGCTCCCTTCGTATGGGTTTCCCGAGAAATTGTGCAATTGGATCATCAGCTTCTTTGCAGATCGGAGCATCAAGGTCGTTGTAGACGGTGCATACTCCGACTACAAGCCTATTAACGCTGGTGTTCCACAAGGCTATGTGCTATCACCAACGCTGTTTCTTCTGTATATCAATGATATGTTGCTAACTGGTAACATTCATTGCTATGCGGATGACAGCACTGGTGATGCTCTATAAAACGGGCGTGCCAATATTTCTCGGGAAAACGTCGCCGAGTACCGGAACAAACTTGTGTCTGAAAGTCTTTGCTGAACTTTGCTGAAGTCTCGGATTGGGGGCGACTAAATCTAGTCCAGTTTAATCCTCAGAATCGCTAAAAAGAACCCCTTTGTCGTATCTCCTCGGGTTGAAGGCACTCCCTTTCTTGCCTCAGCCAGTATCGGAATTCTCGGAGTCGACATATCGAGTGACGTGCAGTTTCGTGGTCACTTGGAAGAGAAGGCCAAATTGGCCTCTAAAAAGCTTGGCGTGCTCAGCAGAGCGGGACAGTATTTCATGCCGGCACACCGCCTGCAACTTTACAAGGCGCAGGTTCGGCCTCACATGGAATACTGTTCACATCTCTGGGCAGGGGCTCCCCAGTGCCAGCTCCTTCCACTTGACCGCATCCAGCGCAGAGCGGCTCGAATCGTCGACGACCAAGTCCTTTCCGATCGGCTTGATTCATTGGCACCGCGAAGAGATCTTGCATCCCTTTGCATTTTCTTTCGCATTTACCACGGGGAGTGCTCTGAGGAATTGTTCGGATTAATCCCAGCCGCCAAATTCGCGAACGCACATCGCGGCAGAACTCCCGATACCATCCACACCATCTGGATGATTGGCGGTCCACTACTGTGCAATTTAGAAGATCTTTTCTTCCTCGCACAACTTCCTTGAGGAATCTTTAACCATCAGCGATTTTTCCGGACCGATACGACTTAGGGACCTTTAAGAAAAGAGCCTACTCCTTTTTAAAACGCCGACAACGCATCTGCAATTCCCCTGGTTCTCCTGCTGTGCATGCAGGTGAGCTGCATGCTCCTTTGCCCCCTCTCCTATAATTTTTTTTAATTAAAAACACGTTTCCAAGTATACATACAAATCAAATACAAAATAAGAGCATTGTAAATTTGTAAATTAGGTTACGAAACAATAACGTCAAATTCTAAAATTAATATTTTGTCATTGTTTTGAAGACATACAGTCACCACACGCATTGGAGCAGCGTGGGACAGCGCGGTTGACATATACCTACTATACATATATGAATACTGCTGTGTTGTGAGTGTAGAGAATCGGAGACTCTTTTTACTGGAAAAGAGGCATTCCATGTTAGTCCTCATCCCCAGGTGACAACGCATCTGAATTTTGATTCTTAATCGAGGATAAATGTAGATGTCTATGAGTCACAGCATCCACATACCATCGAGTGGACCGTGTGGTCGTTTGCCACCCATATTCTATTAAAAAGAACTATTATATATTGTAGTGTTAAACAGTTTTTCGGCTAACAGAATATACCTCTACTAAAATAAAATTAAACAATAAGATTTTTTGCGGTGTTAATACAGCGATAATTAAACTAACTTTTTCATAATTCTAATTTTGAATTGGTAACCTGGAAGGGCACTAGACAATTCTGGAGTAGGCAAGAGCAAGACCCACCCCACTCGGCCACCTGCTATATGCGCCTATTAAGTATGATGTGGCTTATTAGAAGTCCACCGGAAGGGAACCCGGTTCATTAAAAAAATATTCTTATTTGTAAATAATAAAATGAACAAAAACGAACTTATTTTATCTTCTTTATTGGGAAATGAAACATAATTTGTGTCCACGTAATTACTTAATTTTATCACAATATATGTCTTACATTTACATCCCCTTATATACTTTTTTGTTTAATATTAAGATGATAATATAATTATAATATAAAGTTCGAGGTAGCGCTAATGATACAATACATAATATATATTTAATAGACATCAATACCCACACCGCAATAAAAACTAATTACTTACCTACCTCCTTATAATAATACAAAACTACATTTTCAGGAAAAAAGTGTTTTTGATAAAAAGAATACTGGTAAATGGTAATTCTAATAACGGTTTTAATGTTCTCAATTAAAACGTAAGTGGCTGCTTTGTCGAATGGCTGGCTAATATGCCTATTATTTAATATACTATTATAGCTATATATTAGTTTGTTTTTAATTTTGTTATTAATTTTATTCAAATTTTAGCAAAGCAAACAATGGTAGTTAATTCAATTTAATTTTGAAAATATTATGCAGTCTTCCATACTACTAAACTAGCAATTCAGAACAAAAACTGTTACTGCCATTGAAGTACAATGTACTTCATATTACTTCAATGTGGTCACAGCTGTGGGTCTCGTAGGGGCGGGCTCCGGCCGAGCTGGTACTGTGAATATGCCACGCAAATGTACGACTGTTCTGCTTGAAATAAACTTAAGTATATATTATGTACTTATCTGAAATAAACTTTAAATCACATTTAAATAGTGCGTATATAAATAATGATAGCGTTTTCTTCGTATTAAACGAAATCAGTGTTAGATTGTCGAAAACAACGTTCGTGGTTTACAAAACAAAAAAACTTGTAGTTTTCTCGCAAGCTCGCAGTCGACTAAATAAGTTACAGAGAATTGACCGTAACTTATTGCGCAATCTATTAGTACCGTAACGCCCGTCTACTTAGTAGTGTACATAGTGGCTTTGATATTATGTCAGTAATTATTTCAAAGATTTAGCTTAGACATGTACAAATATATATAAAAGTTCATATATTATATGAATAATAAATACGTACATATTATATCAGATATGTGACGTGTTAATTTACCAAAAGCACCACCTCAAGTGATTTACTTAAACCTAAAAATAAATTAAATCACAAACTATACGATAGTCAGAGCGAATATAGACACTAGTATCTATATTCTCGCTCAGTCTTCCCAGAAAACGCCTATTATTCATTAATACTCATATTACTGAGTCCTCCTATAAAATATTTTTTTGTAATAATAAATGCTTAAAGAATATAAATTGAAAACATTAATTTACTGTAAATAGTTGAGTTTTGTGTTTAATTTTATTACATTTTTTAATATGGTACACGCCCAAACCCAATTAAATTAAGAATGAAAGTCTTGTATTAGAATTACTCTAAAACAGAGTAGATTTCTAAGAAAGTATAAAAATTCACCAATTTTATATATCTTTGGGTTTTATTTAGAACTTTTTTTTTTAAAGTCGACTCCTTATTGAAATAATTGTTTTGAAATAATTCCTTAAGCAGTATTTTACTTGGCTGGTATAAATACATGCCTATTAATATAATAGGTAGGTATTTAATATTGTAAACAAAATAATCATAAACGACGATGAGACGACGTAACACAAAAATCTTGAGTAAATATTAAATTTAAAAGTGATCTCAAGCCAGACGTGAGGCGTGAAGGCTGGTGCAGACATTATATTGAAAATTATGTGAAACCACTGAATACAATAGTACAAGTAACGAAACGTCTTTTATGATAAAAACACTACCCGTACGGGATACTCAGACCCCATACGACTAGTATTTTAAGCGCTCGTTTTAATAAACGTGCGGTTTACAAAAACATAAATCGTAACATTGAACTAAATCATAATAATATGAGAGAACGAACTAAGTTTTGTAGCCTCATATATAAATACAAAATGAAAATCAATATGTAAAACTAAAACATAACTCGAACACAATGGTCTATATTAAAAAGAAAGTTTGTAAATTAGACCATTCTTTACAGTTCATAATTTGTACAGGTTAAAGGAAAATACATTTTAAAATGCTCTTGCATATGGCCAGTTATTGCTGGATGACGAATGGTGGTCTAAATAAGGACTATCAGTTAGTAGCAGTTTGCTCCCACTTATCCCTGAACTGGAACTCTCACTGGAAGAGAACATACTCTTACTGCCGGTGTAGAATGAGAGGGAGGTGTGTAGTGGCTCACGGGTTACTCGTCGTCTCGCACGTATCAACGATGCAAACGCTACGGCTATAGCGCACAGGAATATCAGGCCTAAAATACAGAAAGCTAGGGCCATTTTTCCTGGTGATAAACATATTGTTTTATCTCCTGGAGAGAATCCTAGTCTGACGAATTCATCCTTCTCGCCGTCTAGCCGTCTTGAACCTGAAACATATTGAGCTAAAATAAGTTTATTGGTTGATATACGTTAAACATAATTAGGTATCACGCTTAGATCGGCGTCAGTTTACTCCTTAACATTGATCATGAACAGATTGATAGAGCGACTCAAGTACAAAAGTCGGAGCAAATACAAAATCATATTCTTTCAATATTATTACATTACAAGAAATAACTTATTGAAAGTTGTTTATGCTTTTACCTCTTTAACCACAACTTGGTGACAACATAATATGGTATGGATATAGAAAAGATTGTGTTCCTATAATATCAACCTTCATTATTAAGAAACATACAAAAAGAAAACGGTGGTGTAAGGATTTACTGAAAAGATAACTGAGATGTTCACATCTAACACAGCAGTGTGGTTAGGAGTATTCGTTATGTCCTCCCATTTCAGTGTAATTAGTAGACTTGCGGAATCGAACGTTAAATCCGATGGAAGAATCGGAAAGGAGACAATCGTTTTTGGGCCCACTAGAAATTGTAACGTAACTTATTCTCTCTATAACTCTATTTTATTACACTTTTTTTTAAGACGGGGGGGGGGCAAACGAGCATGCGGCTCACCTGATGATAAGTGACTACCGCCGCCCATGAGCAACCGCAACATGTGTTGCCGGCCTTTTAGAAAGGTGTAAGCTCTATTCTTGAAGATCCCTAAGTCGTATCGGTCCGGAAAAGTCGCCTGTCGTAAATAATTCCACAGAGAAGTTGTACGAGGAAGAAAACTCCTAGTAAATCTTACAGTCGTGAACCGCCAAGCATCCAGATGGTGAGGATGGTATCGTGAATTTTAACGCGATGTGCGTTCGTGAAATTTTACGGCTGGTATTAATCCGAACAATTCCTCAGAGCACTCCCCGTGTTAAATTCGATAGAAAATGAAAAGGATGCTACATCCCTACGCAGTGCCAGTGTATCGAGCCGATCAAAAAGAACTCGCTCGTCGACGATTCGAACCGCTCTGCGCTGGATGTGGTCAAGTGGAAGGAGCTGGCACTGGGATGCCCCGGCCCAGAGATGAGAACAGTATTCCATGTGAGGCCGAACTTGCGCTTTGTAAAGTTGCAAGCGATGTGCCGGCATGAAATACTATCTCGCTCTGCTGGCCTTCCCTTCCAAGTGACCACGAAACAGCACACTATTCGATATGTCGACGCCGAGGATTCCAATGCTAGCTGAGGCAGCAAGGGGAGTGACTTGAAACTGAGGAGATGCGACAAAGGGATTCTTTTTAGCGGTAAACGCGCAAACTTGTGTCTTCTGGGGATTAAACTGGACTAGATTTAGTCGCCCCCAATCCGAGACTTTGTTCAGCAAAGACTCGACTTCAGACACAAGTTTGTCCCGGTACTCGGCGACGTTTTCTCGAGAAATATTGGCACGGGCGGTATATAAGGCATCACCAGTGCTGTCGTCTGCATAGCAGTGAACGCTACCAGCTTGCAACACATCATTGATATGCAGGAGAAACAGCGTTGGTGATAGCACGCAGCCTTGTGGAACACCAGCGTTGATAGGCTTAAAATCAGAGCATGCACCGTCTACTACGACCTTGATGCTCCGATCAGCAAGGAAACTGGTGATCCAATTGCACAATTTCTCGGGAAGTCCATAGGAAGGAAGCTTCGAAAGAAACGCTTTGTGCCAGACCCAATCGAAGACCGTCGCTATGACGCTACTGACGGCTAATGCCTCCCCCTTGGACTCTACTGCCTCCGCCCATATATGAGTCAGGTAGACCAGAAGATTACCAGCTAATCGACCCCGACGAAAACCGTACTGGCGGTCACTAATCAGCTGGTAATCCTCAAGGTACTTCATGAGCTGGTAGTTTCTAATTGATTCCATTATTTTGGAGAACAAGGAGGTGATAGCGATAGGCCTGTAGTTGGATGGGTCTGAGCGGTCGCCTTTTTTAGGGATCGGGTGGACCAAAGCTGTCTTCCATGAATTCGGGACTACGTCTTGGGAGTAGAAGTACAGGAAAAGACGCGTTAAAATCGGTGCAAACTCTGGAGCACACGTCTTCAGCACAATGGGAGGGACTCCATCAGGTCCACTCGACTGGCTGACGTCCAGTGAGAAGAGTGCTTTGCGAACCGAGCGCTGTGTAAACCGCACATCCGGCATGGAGCACACACACCGCGGGATGGTCGGCGGTGTTTTCCCCCCGTCGTCTAGAGTCGAATTGGACGCGACGAGAGAGCTCAACAGATCCGCTTTCTCTTTCCCATGGGCCAGTGAGTCGTCCTCTCTGTGCAGAGATGGAAGAGATGGCTGACAGGAGTTCCCTTGGACAGCTTTGGCGAGAGACCAGAATGCACAGGTACCCGAAGGAAGGCAAACTAGCTCCTTTCGGCGGCGGCAGGCTACAGATCGCAACTGCGATTGGAGCGTGAGTGGCACCGTACTCCGAATCAGACAATGGTCCGAAGAGCCCAGAGGGGCATCGACGGAGACCTGATATCCGTCCGGATGTGTGGTCAGCAGAAGGTTCAACAGGGAAGGTACACGGTCCTCAACATCTGGGATCCGCGTAGGCGAAGTAACCAGTTGTGTTAGACCATATGCCAAGGCAAAGTCATAGACAGATCTACCCGCATGATCGGTTAAACGAGTACTAAGCCATTATGGTGGGCCTTAAAATCACCGAGTATCACGATCTCTGCGAATGGGACCTGTTGCGGGGCACAAAGGAGTGCTCTAATTTGTACCCGGGGTAGGAGAGATATGTTGATAAGTATCAGCCGGAGAGGATACCTGAGTCTCGGTTAAAAAGAGCAAGGCCGGCTTTGCCGTCTCTAGATGGTTATAGACAGCGTTAAGGTTGGAACGAAGTCCCCTGATGTTGCAAAAATTCACGGATAGCGTGACAGGGGTCGCCTTGGTTTTATTGCTCCGCTTGCCCCGAACAGTAGTAGTCGCGAGCGGAATTTTACCCCCTGTGAATACGCGGGGTAGTCTGAGGAGTGGCTGAGAGCTCAGGAGTGGAGTAGTTTGATTCTCCAGGGGTGCTGGTACCCTCCTGGGGTAGTCTTTTATGTAATTCCGCTACCATGTTGATGGAGGCGGGGGAATTGGGCCTTCGGCCACCTGCACTCACCAAGCGCAACGCAGAGATAAACCTCTACTTCACGCTGGTATTCTGTGAGGTCGTGGTATCATCCCGGTTCGATCAGCAAAAGCTGTCGCGTGGCTCTACCACTGTTAAACCATGTTACATAAAAACGATACCAATTTATTATAGTAAACAGCCTAAAGATTTTATGAAAATGTAGCCGGAATCATGAAATCTGAAAAAAAGAGTTGTTTTGATATTCGTCTTGAAAATGTAAAGAAAAAAAAAACGCGTGTAACGAACAGGGGTAATAGCTTTGTTTTATGTTGATACTAGCGCCATCTCTACTGCTACGTACTAGTAGTGCAAAATGTTTTACTCGTGGTATCGATAAAAACGCTCACGAGTACGCCAACCCGAGTTGAATATCCAACAGTAGACATGAAATTGTTCATTGCAATTTCAAGTGGTGGCAACAAGCACATCTAAGAAAAAAAATATTTCGAGAGTATATTGAAGTCCTATAACACATATTGCTAAAACATGGTGGGCTCTTTCCTGTACCAACTACCAATTTCCTTTTAGATATTAGAGGATGTCTGTGTCCCCTTTTATAAGGTACCCCTTTCCTTTCCCCTTCTGTACACTACAAAATATAAGGATTTTTGTACTGAGTCATAGACATAGTGTATATATTATAGGTACTTTATAATATTATAATAGACTAAATTCGCCTTTTGTCTCCTTCAGAGAATTATATTTTAATAAGTATATTGCTCCAGTAAAAGGTGCCCGAGTGGTAGCCTCGTACCGGTAGGCGAAGTGTAAGGCGACGTATATGGGGTGACGACCTGGTAAGACATGCAGGAAGTCGCAGGATGCAGGTAGCACAGGACCGTGCTTTGTGGCATTCCTTGGGGAGGCCTATGTTCAGCAGTGGACTTGTGAAGGGCTGAAATGATAATTTCCCTAGTAAAGCAAGCAAGTTAACGCAGAAGTTACCAGTTTTCTTGTAACTACTGCCTTAATCTTCTACGAAAAAATCTAGATATTTATGTGCTGTTACTTATAAGGAATAAGATTGCTTTCAACAGATCAACCACTGTATTGTCTTCAATAAGAAAATTATAATACTCGCCTCTGATTGAAGCTTCGTCTTCCAACTCGATGTTAGGCGCTAGAACTTCTATACTATTGTACACTTCCAGTCTGTCAATAACTAACCCTCGGGCGTCTTTGTCCAATCTAGCCTTCCTTAGTAGCCCGTCTCTTGTCTGCTGCGGTTTTCTCAACGCTTGACAATCGATTTTCGGACAATTGCCTTTACACAGCTCGACACCACAGGTCAGATGCAACTTTGCTCTATCGGGGAACTTGAAGGCAGAGAAGGTGACCACGGCATGTTGGTACGTCATGATGTTCTTGAACATATAGTCGGGATCGTCCCTCGACAGCTTCATGCTCGTTGTTTCATCGATGTTCCGCTGAGGATCGGCCGACGTCAATTCGGAGATATCTACCTCGCCGCGGTGCTTGTGTTCATGTATTGTAGGCCTGCCGAAGATAGATTCGTCGATAGGGCAGCCGGCTTCGTCTAGAAGTTTCTGCGATGCTTCACCAAGGCCGTCGTGGGCGATGCAGTTTGTTATGCGAAGACCAACGCCGACTGTGAAAACGAACGGAAAATATTTTTTTAGACAAATATGTCATGTAAGTAAGGGCTACTCTAGCTCTTTTATTGCCAATACTGCTGTAAATTATAATGTGATCCTGAGACTCGTTTATGGTAACAGAGAATCTATAACTTCCAACTTAGCACTTTGGGTTAGCAAGTATCTGCATTCTGTTTCTTAATTTATTACTTAATTAATTTACTTGTGTAAAAAAACTGTATGTTTCTGTTTATTTCTAAACATACATAGAATTATTAAGTAATGTTTTAAATTTTAATCATAGATTTCTATGTATACTACCGTATTTCTATGTATACTAAACTATTTTCTCCGTAGCTTCTTTTGATATAACTAAGAAAACGTTTACTTAATTTATGAGCGCACTTTGTCAACTAGATTTGAAGTTTTTTTTTTAGATAAGTTTACTATCTAACTTAGGAAAATAGGTATATCCCGTTACCGTGCAAGCTAGACTAAGCGGCACAGTTTTTGTTTGAATTGCCGGTCCGTGTCCGTTATTGCGCATAAGTCACGCTGATTGGCTCGTGCATATCGTTCTCACGCGCTGATTGGCTCTCCAGTCATATTCGTGCGCGTCCCCTCCACGTTTCGTCCAGCGCTAGACTTACGTGCCGCGACTTGTACACAGGAGTCTTTAGTTTAAATAATAACGGGTGAAATACCATACCAGGCAGCGTGCACTGCACGAGGAGACGCGTGGGCTGACCCACCTCGACAGCGGCGGGCTCGGCTCCGGTACCGCGCGTGGCGGGCGCTAGCTGCATCCAGGCGCGCGCAGCCTGCAGCAGCGTCTCCCGCTCCAGCTCCGCTGCGCTCGCGAAGCCCTGCCGATTGCGACCCGTCCTGCACAGTCGCGTACACCTCTGATACATTATATTTGGTATCGTCATTCACGGCTGGATTTCAAAGGGGTAGTGGAAAGTTGCTATACGCAAGATTATCATGATCATTTCAGGTCTGTCGTCTATATACCTATTTTTTAGGTTTGTATATTAAACAAGCTGTATTTCACTTTCAACTGTACATTAATATATAACACAATTTGGCTATAAACGTTCGGTACTTAATTTAATTATGTTTTTAGTTTAGAAGACTTATCAGGGTTAAGTTTGAATCTTTTACACTGTATTTGAATGCGTTTTGAATTAATTACGATAAAAATAAATTTCACTAAAAATTGCTTATAACGAAACGGCTCATCCATAAAAAAGTTAATTGCTCGGACCCAGACAATCCATTTGTGGCGAAAATGGGACTCATACACAACGAATTAAGTCGCAGTGGAGAGCAGTCAAAAAGGTTTTTCAGAAAGCTAAATTATTTAATTCACATTACATTGTTTCATATACCACTATCATAGCAGAGTTTAGGGCAACCTGACTTTATAGATAAGATGGGTCAAATCTATACTAAAACTGAATCAGAACGCCCCAACTCCTCATACCTAGTCTTGTCTGTCCTAACCCTAGAGTGTTTTTGTAAAGCCGTAGGTGCGGAGTGTGAGCAGCCCCCGCCAGCTGTAGCAAATCGCAGGCATCTGTGTGAGCGACAATCTCTTCTCTACGACTGTTTGACTATAAATATAGACTGTTAAATGTTTAACATTTTTTACTATACAGTGGTATTAATATATAGATTTGTGATACTCGAATCTTCTGGTGCAGGCAAATGCCGATAACGCCCTTCTATCGACTTAAACGCCACGTTGGTCGTTATGTTTAAAGTATACTTTAGTTTTTTTTTTTACTTATTATAAGCCAGTGCTTGACCACAATCCCACCTGGTGGTAAGTGGTGATGCGTAAATGGAAGTATATATTACCTACCTAACTTTCTTAATATAGACTGTTAAATGTTTAACATTTTTTACTATACAATGGTATTAATATATAGATTTGTGATACTCGAATCTTCTGGTGCAGGCAAATGCCGATAACGCCCTTCTATCGACTTAAACGCCACGTTGGTCGTTATGTTTAAAGTATACTTTAGTTTTTTTTTCACTTATTATAAGCCAGTGCTTGACCACAATCCCACCTGGTGGTAAGTGGTGATGCGTAAATGGAAGTATATATTACCTACCTAACTTTCTTAATATAGACTGTTAAATGTTTAAGATTTTTTACTATACAATGGTATTAATATATAGATTTGTGATACTCGAATCTTCTGGTGCAGGCAAATGCCGATAACGCCCTTCTATCGACTTAAACGCCACGTTGGTCGTTACGTTTAAAGTATACTTTAGTTTTTTTTTTTACTTATTATAAGTCAGTGCTTAACCACAATCCCACCTGGTGGTAAGTGGTGATGCGTAAATGGAAGTATATATTACCTACCTAACTTTCTTAACCTCTTGTCCGGATAGTTCACGTAATTTTGTCTTGATAACACCTTCCAGAGCCGAGCTGTGAATACGGACCGCGCGTGGTTGCAATTTGCACCTGAAATCGATAATCAAATTATAAACAAATTATAAAATCATACAGGGCTAAAATTGAAAAATTTGCTGGTGAAAAAAAATTATTATTAAAGCTAAGATAAAAAAGAAGAGAAATTGCGTAGAAAGAAGATGGCGTATGTTGAAAATAACATCATTGTGTTATTTTAATATATTTTTAAAGTCCGTTCACATTTTTTATCTGAAATAGTGATTTTTCCTATCCTCAAAAGTCTACTGTTGAACAATTTGCCTCTGTTGCCTCATAGAAGCGATATTTATCATAATTGCCACGCTTAGCGGCGGTTTAACACCGCAGTTTTACATGATTTTGAGCTGTAATCATTAAGAGGCTGCTGCCCATGTTTTAGATTCCCTCACTCGCCTATTAAGTTACCCATGGCATGATTTCAGGTAGTGGATACTCTTACACCGCCATTACAAAGCAAGACAATAAGTTTCTAGTTTTTTTTTAATAGGGTATGGTGACAAACGAGCACACAGTCCACCTGATGATAAGTGGTTGTTGTGAACCATAGACATCTACATCCATCCTCGATAAAGACCCACCCATAAGGACTAAGATAGAATGCCTCTTTTCCAGTAAAAAGAGTCTCCGGTTCTCTACAACAAAGTCCCAGAAAATATACAAGGTCTCCCTATTACCAAGTTTAAATATTTAATTAAACAAAAACTGTATAAAAAGGGTTATTATAATATAAATGAATACATGGTTGATAATAACCCCTGGAAATGAGGTGTTCGCTTCCAAGCTGTTTCTAAAATAAATTTTGTAAATAGTTTGTAATCATTTATATTGTAAAATTTATTTGAAATAAAGTACCGCTGGGTTTCTTGCCGGTTCTTCCCAGGACAGATTTTTTCGAACCAGGGGTAATGTAAAAAATTACTTTCAATAAGAATGACTTGTAATCAATATTGAATATAATTATTCTATTCTATTCTATTCTTCACTCACCAAACGAAACACAGCAGTGTTAAGCTGCTATTTTACGTTGGTATTCTGTGAGCGCATGATCCTTCCCCGGTCGAGCCGACCTATTCGTGCTACAACTATATTACTAAATATAGCTGCAGCATGGCTCGACCAATTAATCGTTTTAACACAGAATAAATAATAGTACAAGAGTTTTAACAAAACAAATTACATAGTATGCTCACTAAAGCGCCTGACAGAATAAATTAGCAAAATATTCTATGAAAAACGATAACTATTTACTCACCTTACCATTAGTTCTTGATCAGTTAATTGCTGCAGTTGACGATCCATTTGCACGACGAGCTCAACGCTATAGTACAAATCGTCAGTATCGTTCGGTTCTTCTACTGACGAGTTAAGAGTGGACGTCCGAACACCACACGCGTTTGAAGGTAAGTGCAGAGAAACATTCTGTTGCAGCTTTCCTAAAATTTTAAAAGTATTAATATAGTATGTTACATAAATATTTTTATTGGACAACTTCAATACAGCCGTACTGATATCACTTCTTGTTTTTGTATTTTTTTATTTTATGTAATAAGGATGACAAACGAACACACAGTCCACCTGATGGTAAGTGGATGCTGCGGCCCAAAGACACCTACATTTACCCTCCAATTAGAATTAAGATGTAGATGCGTTGTCGTATTTGAGGACTAAAATAGAATGTCAAGAGTCTCCTGTTTCTTACACTAACTTATAAAACACAGCTGAATTAGGCTGCTATCTTACGCGGGTATTCTGTGAAAGCGTTGTCCTTCCCTGGTCGAACCATTCGTGCTTCAACCATAATATAGATACAACGTTGTTTTACAACGACGTATTTACACTCAAAAGTCCAGTTTAGATATTTCGGTAAATCTTAACGCCTATACCTAACAGAGTTTCTTTTGCAAACGGGAGCTAATCCGTATTCATAAGTAGATATAAGTAATATTCAAAGTCCAAATGTTTTATTCAATTTCTTTCCATTTTCCTTAAAGTTTGTATTAAACACAAAAATTAAATAACTCTAATTCAAAATGGCGAACTTTTTTTACCATGTTTCCAGTTCTATTATTAATTTTACCTTGCACTCGACATTCTCTGGAGAAATCTTTGCTGAACACGAGACCTTTGAAGGGTTGTTCCATCGTGATGTGCACAGCCATGGAGTTCTTGTCACATGTCGTCGACACATCGATGACCCGATTAGAGCGACAGTGCACTCGACTGACTGTTAGGAGGCTTATTACCGCCACACGCCACATCTCGGTTGGCCCTGCAAAGAAAACCGTAATGACACAAACGTTACATTTGATGAAAATAAAAACGATTACCTCTCTTCTGAAAATGTTAAATACTTAAATCGGGGTTTACTCTTATAGCAATATTCACCAATCGCTTTTGTAGCAACTGTATCATTTTTAACGCTTTCTAGATAGAGCGAGCTGTTAAAGCATGCGAGGAGTCTGGCTCTAATGGATCAATATGGCCAAGGGACGTAAGTCGCTGCAGTCTTTGCATTTTTTTTATACAATTTGGGCGAGAAACTAGCGCACAGATCACCTGTTGTTGCTGATGTAGTACTTCAGGGAATGGAATTATTTATTCCATCATCTGTGGTGCCTATCGCAGGCAGAACTCAGCCATGGTTTGGTCATCATCATCATCATCATTACAGCCTTTCATAAGTCCACTGCTGAACATAGGCCTCCCCCAAGGAATGCCACAAAGCCGACCTGCATCCATCGACTTCCTGCATGTCTTACCAGATCAAGAAGGTTCAAGAAAAGAGTCTTTTCCTTTTTAAAAGGCCGGCAACGCATCTGCAATTCCCCTGGTGTTGCAGTTATTAATGGGCGGCGGTAGTCACTTACCATCAGGTGAGCCACATGCTCGTTTGATGTCATGTCGCTCTCCTATAAAATAAAAGTCAGCAAGGCGTGCTGTTTGCAAGTGTAGTGACCGTAAAAAGAGTATAATTAATATTCTCTTTTAATATTTCTGAAACGCACCAACTGTTGAGTTTTGTTATGAGAACAGTGTAATTTTGTAAAAAAAAAAAACATTCTATAGCGATATCAACGGCCTTTTAAAAACGTTGCAAAATGATAGTGGTACGCAATAACAATCTTTATTTCCCGTTTACCGCTATATTTCCGTTTCTTAACTTGTTAACAATCTCTGATATTCCACTTCGATTACCGTTGTTTGTGAGACAATTAAACAGTTTATCTTCTTTCAAACAAATGGGCATCTTTATTATTTTAGCCTCCATAAGTAATGAGGAAGATATACATATATTAAGATTTAAAGTTTTATGTATTAAACGTAAGATTTTACTTTTGCAACAATAAATATTTTTAATAAATGCATTTATTAGGACTATAAAATTTTCTAAGTGTTATTGGACCATCAACAAACTGTGAAACTGTAATAATAAAAAATGTCTTGTTTTATCCGTAACTAGTTCTTAAACAATATATTTAACTGTATTTAAGAATCCGTTTATGGTAAATAGATATTATAAACACTAAAGACTAATAAATGTAGAGAGTATAGAGCAGAGATAAAACCCTTAACGATGAACGTGACATCATCGTTAAATTTTAGATTTTGTTACTCCAGAATGTCAATAAATAAAACTGGCCAAGTACGTGTCGAGCCATGCACAATGTAGAGGTAGGGTTCCGTAGTTGCCCGTCACAATACGTGGGCTTCCTTGATAAATAAATCTCACAGAATACCAGCGTATAATGGCAGCTTGATACTGCTGTGTTTCGTATGGTGAGTGTAGAGAACCGGATATCCATTTTACTGGAAAAGAGGCATTCCATCTTAGTCGTCACGGGTGACGACGCATCTGCACTTTGATACTTTATTGAGGATACATGTAGATGTCTATGGGTCACAGCAAACACTTACCACCAGGTAGACTATGTGCTCGTGTTTTCACCCTATCCTATAAAAAAAAGCATAATAAACGAGATCGCGGTTTGACCCCTATAATAACTAAAATGGGCCAAATAGAAAGATCGTAACTGAAGAACTTATTTTCAAATCAGACTTATAGGGAGTGGTATCCAAAAAATATTAAAAATACTTTTCCTTTATACAACAAGGGTTCCTTGTTGTGTAACTATGGGAACAAAAGATTAAATTTTGGATTAAAGATTGGGAAGATAAAATTAATTTATTTGTGTTTTGTGTAGAGCGATAAAGTATTCGCACCGTTTTATATGCATGGACGTATAAATAATTATACGTCCTTATTTATACGTCCATCTTTATATCATGTTTATTTTCTCAGGTTTATCGCCTGATTTCTCCCATCACAACATTCACTGTTGATGTACTAATTAACGTAAATCATTAACTAAAATCAAAACTCACTCATATATTGTTTTTTAATTGTCAATAAGTACCAATTTCTTACCCTTTTGAATAAATTACGTGTTTTTATCTGTTTACATTTTCATGCGCAAAGTATTACATATATTGCCAAGGGGCATTCGGTTTCATGCAACCTGTGCAACTGTGCATGCAACCCTTAGGCCAAGCGGAGAATTATCTGTGCGTTCTTAGCAGAATCCACGGAACAATGTTAACTTGTATTTTCAATATAACCGACAACGGCGTCGCTTAACAACGTAAACAGTTAGGTGACGTTATGCAATTGTTAATTGCGCCTAATTAAAACTGTAAATGAATACTAAACTCTCATCGCACACAGACGTGCGTGTGAAAGGACTTTAAAGAATGTTGCCCTACACGGCAGTTAGTAGTGAGATAACACAGATAAACGTCGGCGATGGTCAACGGCTTCGGAAAAGGCTACGACTTACACATATTTTTACAGATAAAGATTACTATTGTTATACAATTTAGGTTTTGTATTTATCGTAAAATTATTCATTAATTATCTGTTTTAATCTTCATCTACGGACGTATGGTCCCACAGACCGCTTTGTCCAACGACATTAGTGAGTAATGAGAAAAATATACGTATGGTAGCGAAGACTTACTCCTTTAGATAAAGATGACTGTCGTAGCACAGTTTAGGTTGTTTAATCATCATCAACATCATCATTACAACCCTTCACAAGTCCACTGCTGAATATAGGCCTCGCCCTATGAATGCCACAAAGCACGGTCGTGAGTCACCTGCAACCATCGACTTCCTGCATGTCTTACCACGACTTCAATCCATCTAGTGGGGCGATTACACTACCACAAAATATAGATAATAATAATTATTTGGAATACTCTAAAACACTCATACCAATGTCAATTGTCCATTATACTTTTCAATCAAGATAATCAATTAGTGAAAGTAACAACCATCCATGTTGCATGTGATCCGATTTGAGCGACCGAAAAATCGATCTGTTTCGGCTTTCTGTCTCCGATAAGATTGTAGCCAGATAGGTGAACTAGTAACCGAAATACCGAATTGTTCGAATGAATAAACGAACTGACCGTGAGAGATTGGAATTGATAAACGAATTGAAAGGGAACGTAAGTCAAAACGGAAATTTCAAGTCACTTTAATTTGAAGTTCTTCAAATTTGTTTTTAAATTTAATGTCTGCTTTCCTTTCCAAATACATACATATACATACACCTTTTTTATCAACCAGGCACATTAGGTATATATTATCCACTGCTGAACTTGGACCACTACCCTTGTGAAGCGTGCGCTTGGGAGGCGAATTAACGATCACAATACCAGATATCTCGAACCTTTGACTAAGGAATCAAGCAATCAGTTAAAAGGAATCCTACCAACAAACCTACCAAAAACATAAATGTGACAAAAGGGCTAAATTCGAGGCGACGCGACGGCTCCGTGGCGGCGGGTTTGAATGCCGCACGGATTAAGTATTCGTATGGCCTACAATAATAGTTTCGGGTCTAGATGTTTGTCCTTGTGAAATTTATGTTTGTAAACTACCACCACGAAACAGGAGTAAATCCTAGGGTGTAGGTAACGTTTTTTAATAAGAAAAGGACGTTTGGTGTTATATTTGGTATATTATATTCGAGAATGACAATGGATCTATCAGAATGAACAGTTCTTGGAACTTGGAACTGCTATTGAGCTTGGTATTGGTACCCGTTCCAATCTCAAATATTTTATCCCATAACGTCCTATGTACCGAAGTTGGTTCTTTTCACATTTATGATTTTGGTGGGATAATATCTACACAGTTAATTTTTGTGTATTCACTGCCACCGAAGGGAATATTGTTTTGTTGATTGTTTTTTATTTATAATTTAAGAAGACTTACAACTATTTATTCATGATAATGTTGCACTGGGTGATTTCGGTGACAACGGCAACTTCCAAATACGCTGCGATTAGATCGGAGATAGGTTTAAATGCAGCGCTACAAACAAGGATAGGTATAATAATAATACATGATACACAAAGATCCGTAAACAAATATTTTAAATGCGTAAACATTGGCTCCGCTTTAATTCAAACCTTAATCTGACAGACAAAATCTAAATACCGCACGGTCGTAATCCTGGTTAAAATATTTCATAATATACCTGAAACTACATACATAATATGTTTATACGTGGTAGAGCGACTATGCAGCTTTATTATGTCTGCAGCTTGTTCTGTAATCTGAAGCTGCAGCACGAATGGGTCAACTCAGGGAAGAACCATGCTCGCGTAGAATATTAGCGTGAAATAGCAACATAACGCTGCTGTGTCTCGTGTGATGAATGACGGGAACCACTTTTACTGCTAAAAAGGCTTTTTCTTTTTTTATATTCAGCTTTATATTCAGTTGTGATAACGTATTTGTTTCTTAATTGAGAATAGATGTAGGTGTATATGGGACACGGCATCTACTTACTGTCAGGTAAACTGTGGGTTTGTTTAAACCCTTTTACAATTCTCTGATCATAGACGAAAAAATTATAGGAGAAAAATTTAAAGTATCATAGGATTAAATTACAACAAAAAAAAGTAAAATTATAGAAATGATAATAAATATTATATAAATATTTTTAAAATATTTAATTTAATGCACCATGAATGCGTTACTACATAAGAGCCTGTAAGGCAATCAAAGCATATATTAAGTAACTTTTCTTTTTGTTTGAATTTGGTTGCACGTGTCCCAGGTGATGAACTGCAATAGTTACATACTCGTACCTTTAGCTAAACTATTAACTTATTATCACTCTTATTAAATATAATAATAAAATACAAAAAACAAATTCAATTCGGAACTAAGCACGGTAAAAATCAA